CGTTAAATTTTTATTTTCACGAATAGATATTTGTATTGAATTATTTAGATGGTACATATATTTAAAATTTTATATTTCTAAAAAATCATGAAATACTTCATAAGGAAGTTTGCTTTATTGTTTTTATTTTTTACTTACAAAGAATAGCTTCTCTAATATCTGCAGGAACTGCCGGCCTTCCTCTCTTTCTTCTTCCCTTTGCACACATTTCTTTTAAATTTTCGTCGCCAACCAACTCTATTAGAAGAGCTCGTGCCAAATCATTTGGTTTGTTTCTCAAGCGTTGCATAATTATCAATTTAGATGTTGAGACATATACCGGCAATCCTTTTTTAAGTTGTGTCTTTGACTGGGTATCGTCAACTGGACGTTCCTTTTCCTGAGAAAGAGTTTAAAAAAATATTTTTAATTAAGTAGGCTATCTGATGATAGATATTGTATTAAAAAAATTAATAAGTTTCTAATTTCTATAAATCTTAGGCTAAATCGTAATTTCTGCTTATTAAAAGTAAAGTTAAAATTGTATAATAAAATTATATAATATAATAAAAGTACATTTATTTTTTTGATGATTGGTTGATTCGCCTTATTCCTCATCCATTCAGTTAATCTTTCAAAAAATGTGATTGTCTTTGAATCTATTTCTTTAAATTAAGAAGAAAATTAATTCTTGTAATAAATATAAACATAACTTCACAAATATTAGAGCTGTCCAAAAAGCACGAAGCTCGAAGCTCGAGTTCTAGAGAAAATTAAAATACTGTTTTAATACTTATTTAGTTTATTGATTCAATATACCGCATAAATTCGAAATTTTGTACTTATTAATATTTTTTTTGTAATTTAAAAGCTTGAATCTAATCGAGTACTCGAATTCACTCGAGTGCTCGAATTTAATCGAGTACTCGAATTGACCGCAGTACTTGAATTTTTCGATTACTCGAAATCGCTCGAGTCCTTGAAAATTTCGAGTAAACGATACATCCAGCCGGCTCGGACTCGGCTCGAAAAAAGTACGGCTCGGCTCGGCTTTTCGAGATTTTTGCACAGGTTTAACAAATATAATATTTAATATAATTTTACCTAAATCTTCAAATATTAATTCTAAGCTATGATTATCAGATGTTGGAATATGTTGATCGATTGTGATTTGTATTTCCTCTTGGTCTAAAAGAAAAATATAATTTTTGTATTACATAATTACTTTTATTTTGGAATGGAGACTATTTTTGGGCTTAAATGAAGAAAGAACATGTAAAACATATTTTAGAAACAAATTCGCAAAATTACCAAATTATTTTTTATTTTATTTATTTATTTAAAAAATATACCTGAAGCATTCAAAGCTCCAATCTCATGGTCATCATCAACCTTTGCCTTCTTAGCTGTAAAAAATAATAGTAATATATACATGTCAAAAAAATAATATAATTAACATTAGAAACGTTAAATTCTTTTTTTTTAATATTTCAAATTATTCAAAAAATTAATAGAAAAAATTAAGAAATTAATCTCAAGAATTTTTTAGTTTCACAGAATTCCTACCTTATTTGAAGAAAAAACGGTTAACTTTAAGAAAACTATAATCTATTTGTCAAATAATTTTTTATATCCTATTTATATTGTTGAATATGTTTAAAAATGTATTAAAAGCTAACAAATTGACTTTTACTTCCCTCGATTGTTTATTTATTTTACATTAATATCATAAATTATGATAAAAAAATAAAATAAAACAACAGGAAAATTTTAAGAATTGTAGAATTTGCATTTCTAAAGATTTGAGGATATAAATTTAACCAATTAAAATATTTTTTTTATACCTGAAGGTTGCTCTTGGTACTCCTCATTCCTTAACCTTTTCTGAATATTCTCTTTGGATGTAGGTTTTAAGTTATCAGTAATACCATCTGAGAAGGAGGTAGAAGGCATCGATTGAAAACTATTTAGTTTCTGAATTTTTTCCTCTTTTTCATTATTTTTGTCAATTTCATTGTTCTCTTCATTTTCTGATGCATCATTCTTAATAAATTTTTCTGATTTGCAGCTTTTTCTTTCTTTTTGTGCTGTTTTATTATTATTATTATTTTTTTTTTTAACATTTCTTGCTGTTTTTGTTGTTGTTTTTGTGTTGTTTTATTATTATTTTTTTTTTCTTTTAACATTTCTTGCTGTTCTTGTTGTTGTTGTTTTTGTGATGTTTTATTATTTTTTTTCTCTATTTTTTTAAACATTTCTTGCTGTTTTTGTTCTTCTTTTTGTGTTTTTTTATTTTTTTTCTCAATTTCTTTTAACATTTCTTGCTGTTCTTGTTCTTCTTTGTGTGTTTTTTTATTATTTTTTTTCTCAATTTCTTTTAACATTTCTTGCTGTTCTTGTTGTTGTTGTTTTTGTGATGTTTTATTATTTTTTTTCTCAATTTCTTTTAACATTTCTTGCTGTTCTTGTTGTTCTTTTTGTGTTTTTTTATTATTTTTTTTCTCGATTTCTTTTAACATTTCTTGCTGTTCTTGTTGTTCTTTTTGTGTTTTTTTATTATTTATTTTCTCCATTTTTTTTAACATTTCTTGCTGTTCTTGTTGTTCTTTTTGTGTTTTTTTATTATTTTTTTTCTCAATTTCTTTTAACATTTCTTGCTGTTCTTGTTCTTCTTTGTGTGTTTTTTTATTATTTTTTTTCTCAATTTCTTTTAACATTTCTTGCTGTTCTTGTTGTTGTTGTTTTTGTGATGTTTTATTATTTTTTTTCTCAATTTCTTTTAACATTTCTTGCTGTTCTTGTTGTTCTTTTTGTGTTTTTTTATTATTTTTTTTCTCGATTTCTTTTAACATTTCTTGCTGTTCTTGTTGTTCTTTTTGTGTTTTTTTATTATTTATTTTCTCCATTTTTTTTAACATTTCTTGCTGTTCTTGTTGTTCTTTTTGTGTTTTTTTATTATTTTTTTTCTCAATTTCTTTTAACATTTCTTGCTGTTCTTGTTGTTCTTTTTGTGTTTTTTTATTATTTTTTTTCTCGATTTCTTTTAACATTTCTTGCTGTTCTTGTTGTTCTTTTTGTGTTTTTTTATTATTTATTTTCTCGATTTCTTTATTTCTATTTTCTGCATTACCAGTTCTTATCAATTTTTCCAATTCGCTGTTTTTATTCTCTTTTGAAATTTTATGCTGTTCTTGTTGTTCTTTTTGTGTTTTTTTACTATTTTTTTTCTCGATTTGTTTATTCCTATTTTCTGTATCACCAGTTTTTACCAATTTTTCCAATTTGTTGTTTTTTTTCTCTTTTGGTATTTCTTGACTTACGGGTTTCACGATTTTTATTTTTGAAGAATCTCCTTCTTCTGATATTACTTTTGGTTGATTCTTCGCGCCTATTTGCTTCTCATTTTTCGATTCACCTATATTATATTTTTAAATTTTATTAATTTATTATTCTTATTTTATTACTTTATTTATTATTATATTTTTAAATTTTATTAATTTATTTATTATTATATTATAAATTTTACTAATTTATTATTCTTATTTTATTACTTCATTTATTATTATATTTTTAAATCTTATTAATTTATTAAAAAAAAAATTTTATTACTTTATTTATTATTATATTTATAAATTTTATTAATTTAAAAACAATTAATTACTACCTAAATTGCACTGAAGATCCCTATTAGTTAGCAAATGCTTTTCGAATAATTTATTCGTTTTTGCTCTCATCGTCTGTTTTAATTTTAGCGCTGCTGCATTTTCTTCTTTTGACGTATTGTCCATATTCTTCTCTTGACATACGGGTTTCACGATTTTTATTTTTGAAGAAACTCCTTCTTCTGATATTATTTTTGGTTGATTCTTCGCGCCTATTTGCTGCTCATTTTTCGATTCACCTATATTATATTTTTAAATTTGATTAATTTATTCTTCTTATTTTATTACTTTATTTATTATTATATTTTTAAAATTTATTAATTTATTCTTATTATTTTATTACTTTATGTATATTTTAAAATTGTATTAATTTATTATTCTTATTTTATTACTTTATTTATATTTATATTTTTGAAATGTGTTAATTTATTATTATTTTATTACTTTATTTATTATTATATTTTTAAATTTTATTAATTCAATATTATTTATTTACAAATTAATTATTTGTATTAATTTATTATTTATATATTTAAAATTAAAAATTTTAATTATTTTAATGAAATTGTAGTACCTTTCACGTCATTCGTTTTTGGATTTTGACTGATGTTTTTTGATAAATCTTTAATTTTTGAATTTATTGTTGCATCATTTTTACTCCTCAGCATTTGGAGTTTCTTATCAACTGATTTACTGGTCTTTCGTTTTGATAGTAATGATGTACTCAACTCCTTTTTTTGATCCATCAAAATTTCCCCCTCATTGCTCACTGTTAGTGTTTTCAAAAACGCTTCATTCTCTGAAAATTTGAGGTTAAAATTGTAAAATTTTATATAATTTATATAACTTTAATTGTAGATAAATACATAAAAATTTTAACTGCTTAAAAAAATGTTTCTTTGTCTTCATTATTATAATTATTACTGTCTACAAAAATTTTTATTCAATGTTTATACTAACCACTCCGAGATATTATTACTCCTTTATAAGGTTCTTTTCCGTAAAAAACCGTGATTGAATCGCCAATTTCCTTCGATTTCTGTTCTTCGGTTTCCTTTAAAACCGTCACAGAATTATGTTCATCCCACTTCACAAGAAGAAACATTTTATATTATAACGAAGAACTTAAGCAAATTGGCAAAATTTCAATGACATTAATAACAACGCGAATTTAGCCGTAGGATAAAAAAAGAATGTCATTTGAAATTAGCTCATCAAATAACACGATATTTGCAATAGAAGAAAAAAAATGAATGTTTTATTTCAAATTTTCTCAATTTGAAAAGCGGTTATGATATTTTTCAATTGCAAAAATCAATTTTTTACCGTTTTTTGTAGAATTAATTATTTTTATTAATAATGCGGCGACGATACAGAAACCTCGAAGAATACTCTGTAAGTCATCAAAACAAAATAATAGCATCTTTAGAAAGAGAAAGTTCAAGTGACTCTGTTGATTCTTTAAATTCTGTGAGTTTGAAAAAATATTTATATAAATAATTTTTAAAATTGCTACAAGAAGTGTAATTATATGTTAATATTTTTTCTTTACATTAATTAATTTTAATCTAAAATAATAAATGAATAATAATAATTAAATTACTAGAAAAAATAAAATAATAATTAGAAAAAAATATATACATTGAAAAAAGTTTATTTGATTGAAATAATTTTTATTTTTTTAATTGATTCATAGCAATATTTATTAGATCCAATTATTTTATTTATTAATTTAAGTAATTCGCATTTTATACAAATAACTATTTATTTGATACTATAAATTAAAATAATTATGTGTATTAAATATTTTCTTAGTTTAAATAAATATTTAATGGATAATAGAAAATTAAACCATTTAATTGAATCAAAACATTTTTTTAGTGTATAAAATATAATTTATTCTTAATTAAAGTAGTTGAATTATTGTTTTTTAATAATTACATTGTAGAAAAATCAAAAATATAATTAAATAAGTTTTTGAAGTTGGTCGGTCAAATTACTACTGTCAAAATTACAAAAAAGTTATATAGATATAAATATAAATATTTTTTAAAAATTTTATTATGAATAAATAATTAAGAAAAGTAATGAATAAGCAAATAAAAATTGAAAAAGTAAAATAATTAAATAAGTTTAAATGTATTATTAGTTGGAAAATGTAAACGTGGATACAAGTGAAGATGATAATGAGATTGGCCCTGGAAATGCTGCAGCAAGTAGTAATTCTATGATTGATAATGGTGATGATGAAGATGATAATAATCACGATGATGCAGTTAATGGTGGCGACAATGGTGATGGCAACAACAATAATAATGATAACGATAATGAAGATGACGATGAAATCGATGATGACGAAATCGATGATGATGATGATGACGATGATGACGAAATCGATGATGATGACGATGACGACGAAATCGATAATGATGACGATGATGATGATGATCATGGCGAGGTTAATGGTGATGTTGACATTAATAATGATGATGACAGCAGTAGTGGTGTTTCCAATGGTTCATTGATAAACTTTAATAATGGTGATTCTTCTGACAGTTCATTTGTTTCTTCACTTAATGAAACTTCTTCTGATTCATCTGGATCAGAATCTGACATTTCCAACGTGTCAATTGATGAAGGTAATGATAACGCATTTTTAATGAACATTTAACAAACTATTTAGTTAATTGCTTAATAGTTAATCAGGGTTGCCACGCAACCTGGAAACCTGGAAATATCAGGGAATTTTATAAACCTTGAAAAAACTTGGAAAAGTCAGGGAATCTTTATCGAATTCCTGGAAAATTTGTTATTTTCTAAAGTTTATTCTTGAAATCTAATTTTACATAAATATTTCAAAATTAATTAAATTTAAAAAGAGTTGCGTTTACAATTTTCGTAAGTATAAATGAATTTCAAAGGTTTGAATTTTAAATTTTGTAAAATTTCAATTGTGAATGAATTTAATTAGAAATCGTCTTAATGAACGTCGGTTTTTGAAAAAATTTCAATTATTACAATTCTTCTGAAATTTATTTAAATTTTTTAATATATATTTTCAATTGATTATTAAAAATAATGGATTTATAGAAAATTTTTAATTAAAAACACTAAAACAAATTGGATTTTGAAGCAATTATAAATAATTGCAGAAATTCAATTATTTTCAAAAGTAGTAAAATTCTTCTTAGAAATTCAATTATTTTCAACAATTTTAATAAAATTCGTGATAAAATGTCGATTATTTTCAAAAATTTCCCTCAATTCAATTATTTTTAATAAATTTACTAATTTAATAAAATTTTCTAAATGAATTCAATCATTTAAAAAATCTTAATGAAATTCCACGCAAACATTTAATTATTTTTATAGATAATACAATTTTTTACAGGGATTCAATTATTTTTATAAATAATAAAACTCAATGTTGAATTTAAATTATTTTTAATACAATTTTAATAGAATTCCTCGAAATTATTTTCTATACAGTTTTAATTAAATTTCTTCAAAAAATTTAATTATTTAAAACAATTTTAATGAAATTCTTCGAAACAACACAATTTAAAAAAAAAATAATTTAAATAAAATTCTTCGTAGAAATTTTAATAATTTCAAATATTTGTCAAAATTAAGTTATTTCCAATGTCTACCATTTCAATAAAATTTCATAAAAGAATTCAATTATTTAAGAAGAATATTTTAATAAAATTCGTCTCAAGAATTCAATTATTTTCAAAAGTAATATAATTCTTCGCAAAAATTTAATTGTGTTTAACAATTTACAAAAATTCTCGTCAAAATTTCAATAATCTTTACAAATTTTTTTCCGAAATTCAATTATTTTCAAAAATTTTAATAAAATTCTTGGCAGAATTTCAATTATTTTAAATATTTTTATCAAATTTCTCGAAAAATGGACACAAATTTTATTAAAATTTGTCAAAAGAATTCAATTATTTAAAAATTTGTTGTTAAAATACTTTATGAAAATTCAATTTCAAAAAACATTCAATTATTTAATAAAATATTTATTTTTGTATTTAAATAATTGAATTCTCGTGGATTTTTCTAGTAAATATTGATTTAAAAAAGAATTTCAGTTAAAATTTTAGATTATTATTGAATATATTGAAAGCAATATAGAGTAAATTTATAAAAATAATTGGATTTTGAAAAGGTTTCAAATGAAAATCTTCGAAAAATTGAACTTTTCAAACTTTTAATTATCAAATCTGTAGAATTCTTTTTTTTTAAAAAGTTTAATTGAATTTTTCTTTAATTTTTCGAGTTTTTATTTTATAATATATATATATAATTGAAAAATTTCAGAATTTTCAAAATTACGTAAAAATTAATATTGAAAGTAATTGAATTCTTGTGGAGAATTTTATCAATTTTGAAAATAATTGAATTCTTGTGGAGAATTTTATCAATTTTGAAAATAATTGAATTCTTGCGGAGAATTTTATCAATTTTGAAAATAATGGAATTCTGGCGAAGAATTTTGTCAATTTTAAAAAATAATTGAATTATTTTGAAGAAGTTTAATCAAAATTTTGGAGAATAATTGAATTCCTACGAATAATTTTATTATCTATAAAAATAATTAAATTCTTGACAAGATTTTTAAGGAAATTTAGAATTAATTTTTCTCAAACAGTTTATATTAGAATATTTTTTTAATTATTGGAAGTTTTTAATTTCTATTTTATTTAATTGAAATTATTCTGAAGATTATTCTGAAGATTATTCTGAAGAATGCCAGAATAATCGAAATTAGGTAAAATTAAATTGTAAACAAAAGGATTTGAAAATTCGCAAAGAACTTTCTCAAAAGTTAATTTAAGAAAATTGATTTAAAGAAGAATTTTAGTTAAAAATTCTAAAAATGAATAATTGAATTGAAATGAAAATAATTTTAAAGAAATTACAGTTTAACAATATTTTCTATAATATAAAATAATGATAGTATCAAGTTTTAATTATTATAGAACATGAAGAATGATATCTTCATGTTTTATAATAAATATTCTTTTATGTTATTGAATTAAAAATTTTTGAAAATTTTAATTTCTATAGAAAAATAATAATTATTGAATATTCATTTAAAAACGAAATGTCTGGAAATCAGGGACTTATTCAATTTGATAAAATATAAATTTAGTTTTAAAAACCTGGAAAAATTTCGTTTTTTAATCTGAAAAACTTGCAAAAGTCAGGGAATTTGAAATGAGGAAAAGTGTGGCAACCCTGTTAATATTAATCCTAGGTAAAAATGATTCGGACAAAATTCTTTAGAATTCAGTTAAATTTTGTTAAATTCAGGTTCAAATATCTGTACTAATTCCGCACGTTTTTTGAAAGATAAAATAAATTTTTTAGAAATTCCACTGGAAATTTGATAAAAATTTTACACCTAATGTTTGATGTATCATTTTTTCAGAAAATTTTCGACAATTTTTCCGAACGAATTTTGTACTAAAATCTATTATTACCAACTAAAATTTCGTAAAAAATCGATAAAAATTCTGAATACAAAGTTTACTTATTTGTAATTATTCTTATTAAAGGCGTTTATAATATTGTGATTTTAATTAAATAGTATAATATATATTTTTAAATTTTAGATTTTTCCGATGCTTTATCCGACGAATTTTCAAGTGGAACTAATACCGATGACTCCGGAGACGAGCAAAATGAACCTATAAATGAAGATCCACCACTTTTTCAAGGATGTCCACTTACTTTGTCAGAGAGCCTTTTAAGTATTCTTTCTCTGACGCTTCGACATACAATTACTGGTGTACTTTTAGCATCCATTTTACAATTGATTCATTTACACTGTCCAGAGCCAAATCACTGCGTTCAATCTTTATACACATTCAAAAATTATTTCGAGGAATTAAAAAGTCCAATCAACAGGCATTTTTATTGCACTGACTGTCTTAATAATTTAGATGATAAAAATTCACAGTGTGCCATATGTGGGTCAGTTGGGAAATCTAATTATTTTATGACTATATCTGTGATATCTCAACTACGCGCCATGTATGCAAGAAATGGTTTCAAAGAAAAATTAAATTATCGGCATAATAGAGTAAAATTATTCCCAGACAACATTGAAGACATATACGACGGATCTATTTATCATGAATTAAATGAACCAGGGGAATTATTATCTGACGCAAACAATATATCATTTACCTGGTATACTGATGGAGTACAAGTTTTCAACAAATCGAAATTTTCTTTCTGGCCGTTTTATTTGGTCATCAATGAACTTCCATATTCCGAACGATTCAAAAAGGAAAACCTAATATTAGCTGCAATGTGGTTTGGAGAAGAAAAGCCCTCAGCTAATATGTTTCTGCTGCCACTCTATGATGAGTTAATGGAAATCAAAACCGGAGTAGATTTTAAATTATTTGGTCAGGAAGAACTTGTTAATGTTAAAGGAATAATCATCTGCGGTACTTGTGATCTACCAGCGAAAGCAAAATTTCTAAATATGATGCAGTATAATGGCAAATGTGGATGTCCCAAATGCAAGCAGGAAGGAAAGAGAGTTAATAATACACAAGTTTACCCTTACAAAAGAAATATGGCTATGCGTACAGAAGAAGAAACTTTGGAACAAGCAGAAACAGTTACAAATAAACCTATTTGTGGTGTTAAAGGACCAACAATTTTATCATTGCTGGTATACAAATGGATTCAAACAACTGCGATCGATGCTATGCACTGCGTTTTTGAAGGAATAATGAAGGCTCTTCTGAAGTTATGGTTTTTTCCAGAATTTGCCAACATGCCTTTTTCACTTTATCATTTAGTTGATGTCATTGATGAACGCTTAAAAAATATTCATCCACCAGGATTTGTCCAAAGAAGACCACGTTCAATTAAGAAGCACGTCAAATATTGGAAAGCGTCGGAATTGAAAAATTTCTTTTTTTACTTCTCTCTTATTATTTTGAAAGATGTAATGAAAGAAGAATACTTTCAAAACTTTCAATTATTAGTTGGAGCTATACATATTCTTTGCCAACAAAGCGTATCAATACAGATGATAGGCGAAGCAAAAAGATTAATTCAAGAATTTGTGTCAACGTTTCAGACGCTTTATGGTCTTCGAAATATGTCGTGTAACGTGCATTTACTTCTCCATCTACCAGAAGTGGTTGAGAAATTGGGTCCACTTTGGCAATATTCCTGCTTCACATTTGAAGATATAAATGGGAAACTGAAAAAATTAGTTCATAGCAGCAAGAATGCAGAACTACAAATTTATAATGGGTTTTCTTTATACTTAAATACGTTTACATTAAACAAAGATTTTCTCAATGAAGGCACAAAAGTCTACGAGTTTTGCAAAAAACAACTTAGTCCAACTAAACAAATGAAATTGTGTGATATTGGAAATGGATATTTCATTGTTGGGGGGTTATCAAAATTACAAGTGCCGAATAATATAATGCATGGATTTGAAAATGATAGAATCGTTGGCAGAAGATTCTTTGTATTTCAAAAATTGCTGCACAACAACTTTGTTTATAGGTCCGAAATATATCGTCGAGCAAAAGTTACTAACTCAACATGCGTAAAGTTTATAATTGATAATGAAATATCATTTGGTATAATTAATATGTTTGTGAGAGTCACGAATTGTAATTGCAGAAAACTGTGTCGATGTCGAGCAGAACACTACGCCGTAGTAAGAAAATGTATTCACAAAGTAACGTTTCCCAACTTAAGCATACCTAGACAAAGATTGAATTTTATTCACAGTTTACAAATACTGAACGAATTCCAAAATATACATATCACATCATTGAAATCCCTCTGTTTCTTCGTAGAAGTGAAAGATACAAATTTAAAATATGCCGCAGAGCCAGTAAATACAGTTGAGGAAGAATAAAATAAGAAAATGCTTGCTAGTCGAAAGAGCATAGTCTAAATATAATAAGCTCAGTGAAAATAATGTTGCACTTCTAGATTACTTGCTAGAATATCTCTGTTTGTAACTTCTCTCAAATATTAGAATTTTAAGATTTCAAGAAAAAAGCTCAACATTTTTTTTAAATCTTAATTTTGCCTTTCGGCATACCTTAGCAGCCTTCACGAAAAATGAAAGATTTGCTAGACTTACAATTTAAACCACAAAAATTAGTTGACACCGGTCTACCCTTTACCTATTCTTTGTAAACTTACCCAGGCACTATAAAAATCGATATAATTTTGCAAAATGCTCGAATTTTAGTGCAAAACCTAATTTTGCCTTTCGCCATACCTTGGCAGCCTTCACGAAAAATTAAAGATTCGTGAGACTTACATTAAAAAACCACAAAAATTTGTTGAGACCGGTGTATCATTTGCCTATTCTGTGTAAACTTACGTGGCATATTAAAAACCTATAAAATTTTGCAAAATGCTTATATTTTAGTGCAAAACCCAATTTTGTCTTTCCCTATACTTTGGCAGCCTTCACGAAAAATTAAAGTATGGCAGTTAGCTGATGTAGAATTGCAGTCAACTAGTATTATCTTTCAGCCATACTTGGTCAGACTGAAAACATACTTCTGTAGACTTTAATATCTTTTAGCCATACTTTGATTTATTAATACTTCATTACTTGATATTGACTCTTTATTTTGCTTTCAGTGTATGTCCGACTATACATTGATTTTTCTATTAAAAACTAAAAAAATGTTTCTGTTATAAATGTTTAATTAACTAATTGTCTGACTAAATGCGACTAATTCATATTAAATAAAAAAATTTCAATAATAGTATTTACTTTGAATTCACTACTTGTCTGACCATACTTTGATTTTTCCCCTTAATCATTACAAATTTTTACCGTTAGTGATTATTTAAATAAGATAAAAATTTATTTCTTTTATTAACAGCTAAGAATGTAAATTATTTCCAATAATCAAAACATATTCTTCAAAGTTACTTATAAACATGCTTCTACAAAAAATTTAGTTAATTTTTTTATGATTCAACTACATTATTAACGCCCGTGTATATATTTCCCTAATTCGCCTTATTAGAAAAGAGGCGCTGATGAGGATCTATTTATGTCCCTATTAAATATTACAATCAGGCCCTGACTAGAATGCCTCTAGTTAAATTTACACATTCTTATATTCTACTCGGGCATCGACAAGGCTATCTAGTTAGAACCTCTCTATTTTTCCACATCATCACCTGATATTCGAAGCGTGACGCAATTAGACGGGTCCTAACGAATTTTCATAGTTTCCGCCACACTTGCGAAGGGGCATCTATTCAGGGATTTATTAAAGCCTATTTTCAATTTCTACACGGACGTTAATCATATATAGATGCACTGTAAAAAATTTAGGAAGATAACGGACTCGGGAGTTAAGAGTAAAATTTTTCGAGTTAAAAATCAACTCCAAAAGAGAGTTAATTACATTTAAAACCATAAAAATAGTTGAGACCGGTCTATCCTTTGCCCATTCTTCATTAACTTTCCCAGGCACTTTAAAAATCGATAAAGTTTTGCAAAATACTCGAATTTTAGTGAACAACCTATTTTTGCCTTTCGCCAAACTTTGGCAGCATTCACGAAAAATTTAAGATTTGCTAGATTTACAATTAAAACTACAAAAATTAGTTGAGACCGGTCTATTCTTTGCCTATTCTTTATTAACCTTCCCAGGCACATAAAAAATCGATAAAGTTTTTCAAAATACTGGAATTTTAGTGAACAACCTAATTTTGCCTTTCGCCATACTTTGGCAGCCTTCACGAAAAATTGAAGATTTGCTAGATTTACAATTAAAACTACAAAAATTAATTGAGACCGGTCTATTCTTTGCCTATTCTTTATTAACTTTCCCAGGCACATTAAAAATCGATATAATTTTGCAAAATGCTCAAATTTTAGTGAACAACCTAATTTTGCCTTTCGCCATATTTTGGCAGCCTTCACGAAAAATTAAAGATTTGCTAGATTTACAATTAAAACTACAAAAATTAATTGAGACCGTTCTATTCTTTGCCTATTCTTTATTAACTTTCCCAGGCACATTAAAAATCGATATAATTTTGCAAAATGCTTAAATTTTAGTGAACAACCTAATTTTGCCTTTCGCCATACTTTGGAAGCCTTCACGAAAAATTGAAGATTTGCTAGATTCACAATTAAAACTACAAAAATTAGTTGAGACCGGTCTATTCTTTGCCTATTCTTTATTAACCTTCCCAGGCACATAAAAAATCGATAAAGTTTTTCAAAATACTGGAATTTTAGTGAAAAACATAATTTTGCCTTTCGCCATATTTTGTCAGCATTCACGAAAAATTAAAGATTTGCTAGATTTACAATTGAAACTACAAAAATTAATTGAGACCGTTCTATTCTTTGCCTATTCTTTATTAACTTTCCCAGGCACATTAAAAATCGATAAAGTTTTGCAAAATACTCGAATTTTAGTGAACAACCTAATTTTGCCTTTCGCCACACTTTAGCAGCTTTCAAGAAAAATTAATGATTCGTTAGACTTACGTTTAAAACCGTAAAAATTAGTTGAGACCGGTCTATTCTTTGCCTATTCTTTATTAACTTTCCCAGGAACATTAAAAATCGATATAATTTTGCAAAATGCTCAAATTTTAGTGAACAACCTAATTTTGCCTTTCGCCATACTTTGGAAGCCTTCACGAAAAATTGAAGATTTGCTAGATTTACAATTAAAACTACAAAAATTAATTGATACCGTTCTATTCTTTGCCTATTCTTTATTAACCTTCAAAGGCACATAAAAAATCGATAAAGTTTTTCAAAATACTGGAATTTTAGTGAACAACCTAATTTTGCCTTTCGCCATACTTTGGCAGCCTTCACGAAAAATTGAAGATTTGCTAGATTTACAATTAAAACTACAAAAATTAATTGATACCGTTCTATTCTTTGCCTATTCTTTATTAACCTTCCCAGGCACATAAAAAATCGATAAAGTTTTTCAAAATACTCGAATTTTAGTGAAAAACATAATTTTGCCTTTCGCCACACTTTGGCAGCCTTCAAGAAAAATTAAAGATTCGTTAGACTTACGTTTAAAACCGTAAAAATTAATTGAGACCGGTCTATTCTTTGCCTATTCTTTATTAACTTTCCCAGGCACATTAAAAATCGATAAAGTTTTTCAAAATACTCGAATTTTAGTGAAAAACATAATTTTGCCTTTCGCCACACTTTGGCAGCTTTCAAGAAAAATTAAAGATTCGTTAGACTTACGTTTAAAACCGTAAAAATTAGTTGAGACCGGTCTATTCTTTGCCTATTCTTTATTAACTTTCCCAGGCACATTAAAAATCGATATAATTTTGCAAAATGCTCAAATTTTAGTGAACAACCTAATTTTGCCTTTCGCCATACTTTGGAAGCCTTCACGAAAAATTGAAGATTTGCTAGATTCACAATTAAAACTACAAAAATTAATTGAGACCGTTCTATTCTTTGCCTATTCTTTATTAACCTTCAAAGGCACATAAAAAATCGATAAAGTTTTTCACAATACTGGAATTTTAGTGAACAACCTAATTTTGCCTTTCGCCATACTTTGGCAGCCTTCACGAAAAATTGAAGATTTGCTAGATTTACAATTAAAACTACAAAAATTAATTGAGACCGGTCTATTTGCCTATTCTTTATTAACTTTCCCAGGCACATTAAAAATCGATAAAGTTTTGCAAAATACTCGAATTTTAGTGAACAACCTAATTTTGCCTTTCGCCATACTTTGGCAGCCTTCACGAAAAATGGAAGATTTGCTAGATTTACAATTAAAACTACAAAAATTAATTGAGACCGTTTTATTCTTTGCCTATTCTTTATTAACTTTCCCAGGCACATTAAAAATCGATAAAGTTTTGCAAAATACTCGAATTTTAGTGAACAACCTAATTTTGCCTTTCGCCATACTTTGGCAGCCTTAACGAAAAATTGAAGATTTGCTAGATTTACAATTAAAACTACAAAAATTAATTGAGACCGTTCTATTCTTTGCCTATTCTTTATTAACCTTCAAAGGCACATAAAAAATCGATAAAGTTTTTCAAAATACTGGAATTTTAGTGAACAACCTAATTTTGCCTTTCGCCATACTTTGGCAGCCTTCACGAAAAATTGAAGATTTGCTAGATTTACAATTAAAACTACAAAAATTAATTGAGACCGTTTAATTCTTTGCCTATTCTTTATTAACTTTCCCAGGCACATTAAAAATCGATAAAGTTTTGCAAAATACTCGAATTTTAGTGAACAACCTAATTTTGCCTTTCGCCATACTTTGGCAGCCTTAACGAAAAATTGAAGATTTGCTAGATTTACAATTAAAACTACAAAAATTAATTGAGACCGTTCTATTCTTTGCCTATTCTTTATTAACCTTCAAAGGCACATAAAAAATCGATAAAGTTTTTCAAAATACTGGAATTTTAGTGAACAACCTAATTTTGCCTTTCGCCATACTTTGGCAGCCTTCACGAAAAATTAAAGATTTGCTAGATTTACAATTAAAACTACAAAAATTAATTGAGACCGTTTTATTCTTTGCCTATTCTTTATTAACTTTCCCAGGCACATTAAAAATCGATAAAGTTTTGCAAAATACTCGAATTTTAGTGAACAACCTAATTTTGCCTTTCGCCATACTTTGGCAGCATTCACGAAAAATTTAAGATTTGCTAGATTTACAATTAAAACTACAAAAATTAGTTGAGACCGGTCTATTCTTTGCCTATTCTTTATTAACCTTCCCAGGCACATAAAAAATCGATAAAGTTTTTCAAAATACTGGAATTTTAGTGAACAACCTAATTTTGCCTTTCGCCATATTTTGGCAGCCTTCACGAAAAATTAAAGATTTGCTAGATTTACAATTAAAACTACAAAAATTAATTGAGACCGTTCTATTCTTTGCCTATTCTTTATTAACTTTCCCAG